GCAAGTTAGATTAAGTTATCTTTCTTCTCAATTATAGCCACATTAAGACACAAAGGTATATTGAGACGGAAAAGCACTGTAGTGTTTAGAAGTATTTTTTTAAAATTAAAAATTTTCTACAAAAAGTTAAAATAGTCATAATTTTTACAACTTTGTAGTCTGTTTTGACAACGTAAACATTTTTATATATGAACGAGCATGCATCGGTCACATATTTGCAAAATAGAAAAAATACAGCAGCTGAAGAAAATAATAACTTTTTCAATCAAACAATCGTTTTTCGATGATTTTAATGCCCTCTTTGTGTAGAAAATTAAAAATCTCCCTTTCATGCTATTTACAATCTTTCATTCTCTGACGAGAGAAACGTATTAGAAAAAAGTCACTTCTGTGCAACAAACGTATCTGGAGTTACAGGTTATTACCTTAAAAATGATCATTGTTGTCTAAAAGTTTCAGCATAATTTATAGAAGTAATCGTGCAAGAGTTTTCCTTAGTCGACCACGCTCTGTGATTTTAGATACGTATGGAAATAATATAAAATTGAGAAAAAGAATAGTTTTTGTGTCGACAGACATTTAGCATTTATGCTAGGAATTTTCTTTTTTCTTTACGACATTTTTTTGTGAAAAGAGAACACCATGATCCAGCAAACTACTCATCATAGAGAAGTTTTGAAAAGGGACAGTATTCTACGGAAACTGGAAATTGATCAATGTACGTTCTTTACTCAATTAAAGATCCAAACTCGGCGGTATAAGTTCCATAAGTGGGCAAAAAAATTGTTGTTGAACTTAGATTATTATCGTTATTTTTTGTCCGGCGCCATTTAGTCGGAGTCTCTCTTTTTCAAATTTCCTTCATTGTTCTTTTATCTTATAAGTAGTTCGAAGAGCAAATCAAAGTAAAAATGCAATGCTAAGCGTACTGATCGAATCTGCTTGGAGCAGTAAGTTCACGATGGAACGTTCCAAACTGTCCAATCGTTTTCGAGTCGAAACCTAGTGGACTATAGGTAGTTGACTATGCTGATTCAGAGTATCAATATGAGACGAGCTGATAGGTTTCCAGAGACCGGTTTTCTGGAAAACCAGTTTTTCAGAAACTCTAAAATATAACCCAAACCTTTCTTAATGAGGCATAAATGTAGCCCGCACATTTCTGATTTAAATGAGACATCTTCAGCTCTACGCGATCTTTCTTTGCAAAGTTATAGACTTTACAAGAAAGGCCCTAAATTAATGCCTTATTTCTGTAGCTTTGAGCTGACAATGAACATTTAGGGCTTTTCTTGTAAATTCTATAACTTTGCAAACAAAGACTGTGTAGAGCTGAAGATGTCTCATTTAAATCAGAAATGTGCGGGCTACAATCGTGACTCATTACAAAACGCTTTTGTTATTTTTTAGAATTTCTGGAAAACTGGTTTCCCAGAAAACCGGTTTCTGAAGGCCTGTCAGTCCTGTCTCATGTCGATATTCGAAATCAGTATGGTCGACTACCTATAGTTCACTAGATTTCGGCTCGAAAGCGATTGGACAGTTGGGAACGTTCCCTCGGCAGTGAGAGATAGAGTCTGCCGACATCGCAAGTCGTGCACAGCGCAATTGTAATCTATTTATTCTTATTTATTTAACAAACTTTTGATACTTTTTCATTTCTTTCGGTCAGAAAAAATTAAGAAAAAGTCCATTATAATTTGCTAACAATGTCTTTTCTCTTTGTTTATAAATAAATATATAATTTCTTGGATAGTTATGAATGCAAAAAGTTAAAATAGTTATAACTTGGTTTAAAAATTAGAGTTAAGATGTCCTACCTTAGTTTCACGTTTTTAAAAAACTTTCAGATTCTCTTTGAAACGCTAATGGAATAAATTGTACAGTATTTTCGGAAACATCTTCCTATACCACTTCTCATTCCAGTTTTCTTCCGAGCACTGCCACTGATCTGATACTGTATCATGCAGCTAACTTTACTGAGGAACAATTTTTTGAACTCACTCTCCCACTGCTTGCACACTCAATCCCCTAACACACATATATAAGTAGCTGAAAAGATGCTTAAATTCTGTGAATGATCGAAAAGTTTTCGTGATCGAAATCACGAGAAAACGAGATAACTGTGTGTTTATCATGTACTGAAGAGAAAAGCCGGTCAAACAAAATGTTGCAAATAAGGAATGACTCTACTTCACTAAGATAAAAACAGTAAATGTAGCTGTTACACTTGCCAATAACATGGTTAAGTTTACGATCCATGCCAGTACGCAATCAATTGATAAATATTTCATAAATTAATACAACAAATGTATAGACTCTATACTACGTCAGTGTTCATTATTTCTTTTCGATATTAATATAGATTAGATAAACGAAAAATTTCACTATTCAGAATTAAATCGTATTATAAAAGATGGGCAAAAGCCTTGTCCGTGGACGGTTCGTGTCATGAGACTAGAGCCCTAGACACATTATTTACAATCACTAATAAAGATATACGGAAACATAATTCTTCACTCACTCTATTCTCAGTTTAATGTAAAAGTATGAATTGAAGCTCTCTCAGGAATCATGATCTCTCAGCCAAGAAGTGAGTGAATTAAATATCGTATACATTTGTTTGAATTAACGTCGGTTAGAAGCAAACTAATTACATTCAGTGTTTCGGTTGTATCAGACGAATCGTTTGCTGATAAGCTGCTTCTCGTTGAGCTAACTCAGTCTGCAACAAGTCATCACATAGATCTACAACTTCATCGATATGCAAATCAACATTACCGTCTTTCGTACAAGATCCGGTTCCGAGACCATTCGTCTGTACCCACTCGCGAAAGATGAGTTGATTCATGCGTGCCATTGTTCCAAAATGTATGCTCAAATAATCACATCGTATACCTGAAACTTCAAGCATAATTGCACCCGGTCTCATAAACATCATATTTGTGAGACCAGCTCCGTGTACACCGATCAATAAACGTGTTTGTCTCATCAATTTCGCGGAAGTGTGCATATTGCGTGAAAAATCATAGACTTTTGGATAAACTTGCAATTTTGACGGTGGTTCGATGGCTTTTCCCGTGTTTGTTGTGTTTAATCCATGTTGAAATCGGACTTTTAATTTTTCAAGAAATTCTTCAGCGTTCGTAATTCTTCTGCTGCTAGATTGAGCTCGATTAATTACAACGATATACTCAACGTCGGTCGTCGTTGTTGACGGCACATCTAATTTACTTGGGAGATTTAACTTTTTTAAAATATGATCGGAATATGTAAAGAAGTATTTCTGTTGTTGACGATCTAGATACGGCCATCGTGGATGTTCACTTCTCGGTCCATACCAATACTGAACTTCATTGACAAACGTTCGGTCGTCACCTATACCAGGATGTATTAAACGTTTGATAAGTAACCATTCATTGTTAAACCATGTACGTGGAGTCAACAATGGCAAGAGAGAAAATGTTGATTGCATCTGATCGTAAGCAATGGTGTTGTGAGTATACGAGTTCACTGTACGAACTGGATCAGTAGACACTATACGGCCGTACTCTCTAAACCAAAGACCCTATTTTAGGAAAATTCAACTTTTCCCAATGATTAGAAGGAAAAGGTCCTTTTGCTGTTTTAAATACTGCTAAAGGGTATTCAGAAATAGAATAGATTCACTGAGAATGAGGGTTTGGCATGAAGATGTCATTCATCCGAGACAAGCTCTTACGGTGTGGCTTGATTTTGTTTGGTACTTAATTGATTCCAGTTGTTGGGATAAGCGTCTAACAAACGCTGTCCTAACCATAACTGAGCACTAGAACGATCTAAAAGTAACAAATCAAACGTAAAAAGATTGAAAAAACGATAAGCGAAGTTCTTACCAATGAAATAGGATAAGTTTTGATATTCTAATATATTTAAAAAAACTGGATACCAATAATCGATTATTGTGTGAAAAAAATTATCGGTCGTTGATGGTATAATAAAGACAGGCTTATCTAATATACGATCGACTTTTGGTGGTGGTTTTGTCGAACGAGAGTTCGAGTCAAATCTGAATTCTTGTTCACTACTATATGAAGGAGATAGATCTGGAGAGGAGTTGGATGATTTATAAAAGTAGTATTTCTGTTTCGAGCTATCCCAGTATATATTCCGATATTCACAACGATGATTGTCCAAATTTTGAGCTTCGTACAGACTGCTGGGAACGCATGTCACTGTTGTGTAAGGAAGTTGTTGCTGATCTTGGTCTTCAAATACAGTACTCGCTTTTGCTTCATCTAATATTGCTTTTTCGCTTAATTCAATTGAGTGACGGAGAAACTCTAATTGCTTGATGACGCTGGGTGAGAGAAAGTAGCCAAGTTCAATAGCTTCTAATGTGGACAGATAAGGAATATCTTTGAATGACGATGTTTTGGGAATAAAATTTCGTTTGTGTTTTTTTAACCAAGCTTCATCTTTCGTTATGCCATACTTTAAGTTTTGAGCATAACCACCAGTCAAGTTCAAACGATCAAACTCTGTTTCAATCACAGATGGCGACGATTTTGATGCTGATGCTATTGCATGAACAACTGGCTCTGATTCAAGTGATCTGATAATAAAATACAAACTCAGAGACGAAAAAACGCATATGGCTACTGTTTTTCTTAACAACTCCATTATTAGTGCTCTTAAAACATTGTCTATAATTTCGAGTTTATTTTCAAGATTTGTTTATTCTTCTATTTCTATGTCATTCTTCCATGTGACATGCCGATTGGCAGTTGCATGATTTGTTTCAGACAAGAATAATTTATAAATCAGGAAAAAGAACATTCGGTGGAATTTTTTTTTGCATTTCTTGTCAAGATGGCTACTACTCAAGACTTTTGTGTTGAATACATGTCATTTAGCCATTTTTTTTTTCTGCTTAAAAAAAACGAAAAAAAGAATCAATACTTCGATATAATTTACATCTAAAATCAAGGAATATATTTGATTTCTCTTCGAATACATATGTTGTAGACAAAACTAAAATTCAGTCAATTTTTAAAATTTTAAAATTTGTCTGACATCTTAGTCAAAATTAAAATTAAATTCTTAATTTTAATTTTGGCTGACGATTGTTCAGCCATATTTAGAATCTGACTAGCATTTTCAAGCCAAAATTAAAATTTAAGGTTTAGCTAAGGGAAGCCGTCAAAAATTACATTCGAAGCAATCGCAGTAAACGGAGCAATCGTAGAATGTAAACAGCTTCTTTCTGATGTTTGCATGAGAGAGAAAATCTATAAAATCTATCTGAGACTTCATGATTGAGATTACATTTTTTATGATTATTAATTGGATTTAAAATTGGTCTCAATTTGGAAATGAAAATTTTATAGTAGAAAAAGCGGTCTCAATTTGGAATGCATATATTCTCTCGTTTCTTATACAAATAAAATGTTGTCTCAGTTTGGAGTAGAGAGTTTGTTCTTTTCACATACGTCTTTATATTTTCGGATCACTGTCTAATTAGGAATGATTGGCTACTGTAGACACAGAAACTGATAGAGATATTTTTTAAAACTGATGCTTAAAACTAAATTGAGGTGAGAACGACATTACTGGATCGGGTGTGACTATAAAAATGATGAATAGCATTACTTTGAAACACAATATCTTCATTCGATTTCCTCTATGAGTCATTGTTCTATGTGTCTACGATAACCAATCATTCCCAATTACAGAGTGATCCGAAATTATAAACAGTGTTCAAAGTATATGAAAAGAACAAATTCTCTATTCCAAACTGCGACCACATTTTATTTGTATAAGAAACGAGAGAATATATGCATTCCAAATTGAGACTGCCTTTTAAATCTAATTAATAATCATAAAAGAAAACAATCATGAAGCAACCAATCTATCTGTTGTAAAACGGCGTGTACATTCGTGAATATTGTGAAGTGAACTGTGGTCGCACGTGTATGGTGTGCGTAAAATGATGTGTCGGCACGCGTAAAAAATATATTCCACTTGTAATAACACGTGAATTACTTATGGAAACTTTTCGCAAGTGTTCTCCAGTGAAAGTCGTAAAATGGTATGTGCACACACGTGATAAAAAAATTCTCGCTTGTAAATGCGTGTAAAATTATAGAAAGTTCACATGTGATCACCCATTTGATATTGTAAGTAAATGATTCCAACGTCGTAAAGCTTCGACAAAATTTCCAATGAGAAATGTTATTTCTAGTGTATACTCAACTGTTTTCGACTTAAAATCCTGATATTAATAATGTAGCTTGATGAACTTTGCAACATATCTAGAAATGAAAGGAAGATTTATACCTGCACTATCAAAAAAAGGATACACAGACACATCGTGATTGTCATGGAGAAAAAGGAATTAGTATTATATTTGTTTTTACGTGATTAAAAAGTGACATTTTCTCATTGTAGCTTGACAGCTTGTTGTCTAGTCACAGCGAATATAAACTAAAATTTCAAGTAGAATGATGTACCTGCTGATCGCCTTTGAGAATGAATATCTTGAAGCATAAAAATATGAGCTCATGAATGTGAAAAATGTAGATCAGTCAAAAAGTTCATGATTTTGATTTTCAAAAGTTTATCCATTCAGAAAAAAACATTTTTCTCAAATGATAAAAAGTAGACGAAAAAGTATTAAAAGTTTTTTCATTACGCTATAATAGTTCCTCTTTGTAAAAAATGATGGAGATCACTTCTTTTTATATTTATTAATTAAATTTAAAAGGTGGTCGCAATTTGGAATGCATATATTCTCTCGTTTCTTATACAAATAAAAATGTGGTCTCAGTTTAGAATAGAGACTTTGTTCTTTTCATATACTTTGAACATTGTTTATAATTTCGAATCATTCTGTAAACCCTATTAAGTGAAAAAATAGATATCAAAGATTTGTCATCATTTAGGATACAGTTATTTGGAAGTGTTTAAGAAAACTTGTGATTTGAATATTAGCAATGATGAGGATGAAAGCAGCGAAGATTAAAATTACAAACAGTTGACAAAATTAACTTTTTGAAAAATTAATTGTTTTTTTAAATATAAGTACTAATTACCACTTAACATAAGTTTGATTGCTACTACCTCTTATTTAATTTAATTTTTATTTGGAATATAAAAATGAGAGATAATGTATCTTTTTTGAGACACATAATTTTTTTACAAAATATTCGTTTCTCAAAAGAGATATTCTTTAATTGACTAAAACAGATACATTGTAAAATATGGTATTTGTATCTCTTTTGAGACGTAGCCAAACAATCGTCAAGCAGCTAATCTGTCTTTTCTTCTCCATTTTATTGATTTTTTTTTGTAGATTATTTTTTATTAACTTTTTTATATAACACATCAAAGAACACAATAACTGTGCTAATTAGTTATAGTTAATATATATATATTTATTTGCCAACACTGAAGATCATTGGGGTCCTAACAGTGCAAAAAAAATAATTTTTAATTGTAAAGTTTAAACAATGGAAAATGAAAATAACATAATACAAAGTAATCAGTATATCGTAACAGTCAATCCTTTATTCTCTTTCCGTTTTCACAACTTGGTAACTACAAGTATATAACTATAAAAAGTACAGAAGATATAAATAAATAATGAGTACTTATAAGAACACTTAATATTATTAAAAAAGAAAAGAAAAAAAAATGTAGCATTAGAAGGTTTAAGGGAATTCACATAATAATTTCACATCTTTAATATCAAAACTTGGAACCGAGTCATTAGAGACGTTGTCCACACATCAAAGCACACATTTCTCGAGAATAGACTGGCGAATCACAAATTTTTTTGATCTATGTAGACATTTAATTGCCTGTTCCTTAGAAAGCCAAGAACTTCTGTGAAAATTTAAGATGGTCTGTTCAAAAAGAATCGCCCCATCTGTGGACTCAGCTAACACCTAGCAATATTTGTCCCAATATCTAACACACCTATCTGCGAGGGAAATCTCAATAGTGGAAATATAGCGAAGAATCAAAAATAAAATTCTCAGGAAGTGCTACCATTGACTCTACAAGCTACGATCATATTGACCCTGGCTAATTTTTAATACTATCTTGCTGATCATTAGTCCCCTTAAAACTCGAGAAACTACCGTTTGCTTTCGGTAATCAAAAATGCTTTTTACTTCATATTAAAA